TTGATCTGTCCCTTGGTGTCAGTGGTGTATTAAGGTCTCCTGTTACAATTGTGTTACTGATAATTTGAGTTTTCATTTCTGTTAATAATTGTTTTATATAACTGGGTGCTCTGGAGTTTGGTGCGTATATATTTAAGATAGTTATCTCTTCCTCTTGGAGTTTTCCCCTTACGAGTATGTAGTGACCTTCTTTGTCCTTTATGGTCATTGTTGGTTTAAAGTTCACGTTGTCTGCAAACAGAATGGCTACTCCTGCCTTTTTTTGGATTCCTGCTGCATGAAGAATTGTTTTCCATCCTTTGACTTTCAGTCTGTGAGTATCTTTCTGGGTTAGATGGGTTTCCTGTAAACAGCATATGGTTGGATTTTGTTTCTTGATCCATTCTGCTAGTCTGTTTCTTTTGATTGGTGCATTGAGACCATTTACATTAATGGTTATTACTGTTAAATGCTGGTTAATTGTAGGAATGTTATCTCTCTGCTGTTGCATCTTTATCTTTCGGTTCTGTTTAATTATTTGCTTTGCTTAGTGGTTTTTTCCTTTGTGTATCTAAACTGTTTTTCAATATTTTTTGCAGGGTTGGTTTGGTGTTCATGAAGTTCTTCAGCTGTTCTTTGTCATGGAAGTATTGTATTGCACCATCTATTTTGAATGATAGTTTTGCAGGATATATCAGTCTTGGTTGGAAATCATTTTGCTTTAGGATCTGGAATACTTCACTCCATGCTCTTCTTGACTTTATCGTTTGTGCTGAGAAGTCTGCTGTGATTCTGATAGGTTTTCCTTTATAAGTGATCTGTCTTTTCTCTCTGACAGCTTTTAATAATCTATTCTTGTGTTGGATTTCTGGGATGGTGACTATTATATGCCTGGGTGTAGTTTTATTTTGGTTATGACTGTTTGGAGTTCTATATGCTTCACTGATCCTGATGTCAGTTTCTGATCTCATGCTTGGGAAATTTTCAGCTATTACTTCTCTAAATATCCTCCTGACATCCTTCATGTTGTCTCCCTCTCTTTCATTAATCCCTATCATTCTTATGTTATTCTTCTTTGCATCGTCTTGCAGTTGTTGAATTGTTGTTTCCTGGTTCCTTGTTATTTTCAAAAGATCTTTCCTTTCCTGTTCACTAGCTGCAATCCTGTCTTCAAGGTCTGAAATTCTATCTTCACTTTCATTAAGGCGGTTTTTACAACTTTCAGTGGAGTTTTTTATTTCCTGTATATCTCTGTGCATCTGCATTATGTATTCTGTTTGTTTCTTATATTGCTCGTCTAGGGATTCTATCTTTTTGTTTAGTTCCTCCAATTTTTTATCTGTGTTTTCTTTAGATATATTTAGAATCTCTTTCATTTCTTTTATCATTTCTTCTTTTATCTGGGAGATTATTTCGAGTTTGAATTTCTTTAAAGCTTCCTGGAGTTGCTTGTCAATTTCAGTGGCTATTGTGTCCGATATATGAGGTGGATGGGATATATTTTCTTCTATATACATCGCTCCTAGGGTTTCTTGAGATGGGCTGGAGGTTTGAGGTTGTAATTTGGTCTTTCGTTTTGTCATTTTCCTATATTTCTGTGTTTCAAGTGTTACTTGAAAGCTTCCTCAGGATCTGTTGAAAATCCCCTTCTATGTTTGGAGCTACTGGGACTCTGGCGCCGCGCTACTCCAAGCCATTAGGCCTACAGAACCAGTGGCCCTCCTCTGCCTGCTCAGAACTCCGCAGTTCCAGACAAGCTGGGCCTCAGGGACACTGTGCGCCCACCTGCCCCTTGGAAGCTCCACAGTTCTTCAATCGCAGCCGGGTTAGGGTACTCACCACAGGCCGCAGTGCTTCAGGAACCTGTGGACCCTCCCTGGTTGCAGAGATATCCACAGTCCTCCAGACACGCAGAGAGGCCAGTGAGGGCACCCCAGATCTGCCCAGCTCCTCCTCTGCAGACCTGTGGCCAGGCGCGGCAGCTAAACAGGCTGGGCTAGGCTGGTAGTGTGGGCCAGCCCACCTATCGGGAGCTCAGCAGGTCTCCAAATGAAGCCGGGAATGGGGAGGCTGATGTGGAAGCCTTAAACCCACCTCTCTCCTTCACTGTACCTGGAAGCCTGAGGGAACTCCAGCAGTCTGGGTGCAGAAATCCAGAGTCCTCCAGACACGTAGAGAGGCCAGTCAGTTCTCTTTCTCTTCCTTAGTTGCATTGTCAGGACTGCCTTGATGCACTGACACAGTTCAAAACAGTTACTGTTCATGGTCATTTCCACTCCGAGGAATGTCCAGAAGTCACACAATGCCAGGTAAAGTAAATAAGGTAGACAATGATACACTGTAATGTTTATAGGAGCCCTCCTATCAATTAATAGCATTTGGCTACAGCATTCACTGTAATTTTAGTCATATCTCAGAAAGACATTTATTAAAGGGGGCTGTCAATTCCTCGAGAACATAAGCATTGCATTGTGCATCATCTAAGAAAAAAAAAGAAAGTGAACTTCCAGAATTTCTTTAGAAAGTGGCAAGAATGAGGAGACAAGTGTGTTTAAAGGGAGGCAGAGTGTGTTGAAGGGAAGTAATGACCAAATGACTTTTATTGCAATAATTTTAACAATATAAAGTCATTGCGTATTTGAGCACCCTTTGTCTTCTTGGATTCTCCACTAGATCTGTTTAGAGTCTTGTCTACAGCTACAGCTCTTTGGCACATGTCCCTCTGTGTAACTAGAGATACAGATCTCCCATTCCAGGTTTCAGAGAGTAAGAAAGGCCCAACATACAGACCTTGTGCATCTGCAGTACTATTCCATGCTAACCTGCTCAGTCCTACCCTGGATAACTCAAGTCGCTTGTCTGACTATTCACTGCATTTCCTGGGTCCTCATTCATTCAGAAATAAACTGTCTACACTGCCATATCTTTCTTTTTCAGTCATAAAGAAGAACCCTTGCTTGCAGTAAGCCCTGAGATAAGATGTAATTAGCATCAGGTGATTTTATATTTGGTGATCTTGTTCTAACCCTCCTGTCCACCTCTTCTGTGTTCCAAATCAACAAAAATAACTCCTTTCTCAGCTTTATGCTCTGTCCTTTGTTTCCATCCTGAGATTCCAACCTAGATTACTTTCATCAAAAATGTCAGTCCAGAAAGGGCTAAACTTGACCACATCCACTTGCCCAAATATTACATATTCAAGGCAGGTAGTATCTATGGCTGACGATCAAAGCTTACCCAATCTCTATCTGGTGCCCTTGTCGAAGTGTACCTGAGAGCTATTTCAGGGCCCTAAATTTCCTGCTTACATTCTACCTAATGTTCATGTCAAAATCAGCTGTAGTGAACCTCATAGCCTATACCAAACCACATTTAGATGCTCTTGAAAGCAACCTCAATGATAGCTTGCTCCATGCTCTGAGTGAGCTTGGCACAGAGGTGGATCTAATAATATATTTTTGGTATAAACCACAGTTACTGCTTGCCTACTTTGGGGTCATCTTCGCGCTATACTGTTGCCCCTCATTCTCAGGGTCCACCAGATACTGAAAGCACCATAAGGCTATTGTCTGTGCCTACTGTTCATGTCAGTCTCAGCATTCATAGGCAGCTAGTGTTGGTCTCAATGTGAACTAGGGTGTAATGGGCCAGGAAATGAAAGGAGAAAGGAAATGAGTTCCAACTCCAACTCCATTGCTGGCTACCTTAGTGACCAGAGTGAGGCTAATGATTTACAAACCCCTTCAGATAAAGTCTCAAAGATTATGTGTGCATTCACTTGTTCTTCCTGGAACATCAGAAACTCTAGGAGGGTAATAGTTACTATTATTAAAGGAAAATTTCAAGGACAGGAAGATGAAAGGGTCACTCTTCCATTCTCTGCTCCCAACCTCAGCATCCCAGGTTCAATTTTGGTTCCTTACCCTGGAGTTTACCTATGTCTTTCCTGCTGGAGTGGATTTCCTATAACTTTTCATTAGAGTCCTGAAGACCCCTGAAGAAAAATAAATACCCTGAAATATGACACCACATTTCCAAATGCTGCTTACTTATGTAGGAAAACAAAGCCCATAATGAGGAAACAGCAAACGTGGAGTAGAATAGATAGGAGTTTAAGCACTTTAGCTTAAAGTCTTCTGATGTACTTACTCCATGTCCAGCCTCAGTGTTCTGTCCTAAGTACATTAATAACAAAATTAGCTAAGTGCCTGGGTCAAAATCTAGTGGAGCTTTTTATAACTTAGTATCTTTGGGAAAGCTAGAACTGTCCACAATATGTGTGATAGTTAAGAGCATTTCACAAGACCTGGTCAGTCCTTTTGCAAACTGTGATCACAGTGATATTCTCATCTTATCTTGATCCCAGTCTCACAAGGGCAGTGGATATTTAGACTCTTAAGGGATCCATTCTGGATGCACTTTGAAGATTCCACAAAGGATTCTAGGTGTTAATAGATAGTATGGGGCCAAACTCAAGCAGGTCAACCTCTAGACTCAGATGTTGACTCTAGGATTTGGCTGGAATTTTCATATACTTGTACAAACTACACATCCACAGTTCTGAGCCTTCTCACTCAAGACCCTCAAATAACTAATCATGAAATCCTCCTTCTAGAATCCTCTAATTTTATACCCATGTGCACCAACAATCGTAAATCTACAGCCACATGCATGTCACATCCAATGAAATCCAATGCTTTTTCTTTATCATAGTTCTCAAAATTGACATTTGTAAAGGCCCTTCCCAAAATGGATTTAAACCTCCAGAGCTCAACTACCTAACTGTGAAATATTCCAATGTTTTCAATTCTTGAGCAAATTTCTTACCCCTATTTATCTTCATTTCTCAAATTGTTCCTCTTCCAGGGTAAATATTTACAGTAAAGACACTATTTGTGAATCTGCTCAAATATCCCACCCCAATCTAGCTGCAGGTAGCACAAACTAGGCTGGGTGCATGTTGGGGGTGTGGTTGGGAGGTGAAAGGAAATGATTAAATAAAGAAGAACAAAGTCCACACTTCCTTGTCAAGGAGTATAAATGAAAAAGCCTCTCAGCCATCACCATATGATTGTGAATCTCACTGCAAATATGCTGGCCTCAGGGATACTCTTGTTGATTCTGCTAACTTGCTTGGGTGTAGTGGCCTTGATGTCTGTCTGGAAACAGAGAACGGTCTGGGGGAAGCTGCCTCCTGGACCCACTCCACTGCCTCTCATTGGAAACTACTTGCAGTTGGACACAAAGAAGATGTACAGCTGCCTCATGAAGGTATCTTCAGGCTAGGGGATGCATGGAATGTGACGGTCATTGGAGTTTGTGTATTTTGGCTGAGACTTGGGGGAAGCTTACTTAACAGAATAAGTCAGCTTAGGGTGGGGGAATTTTGAAGGTTAAGCAACTAAATGCTCGCCAGGAAAAAAATGTATCTTGGGGTGTTTGGTGCCTTGGCTGTCAGAGGCTGGGAGAAACGCATCGTAGGATCCAGTTCTGCGTACTTGTCCTATTCAGAGAATAACTCATCTAATCATTCTCACTCATTTCCCACCAGATGAGCAAGCTCTATGGCCCAGTGTTCACCATCTATCTGGGATTTCGCCGGGTGGTGGTGCTGTGTGGATATGACGCAATAAAGGAGGCTCTGGTGGACCAGGCTGAGGACTTTAGTGGGAGAGGCGAACATGTCACCTTCAACAGGCTCATCCAAGGCTATGGTGAGGGGGACATCAAGAGGGTAAAAGTGGCCCAATAGATTTGGTGTGCCTAGTTTCCCCTGCCTTCTCAGCTGAACCACCTGTGCACACAGTGTTGTGCACATATTTTTCTGGCGGCCTTCTCCACATGTTATCTCTCCCTGTGTCATTCCTCAACTTGTTTGTTGTTGTTGTTTATCGGTACTAGGGATCGAACTCACCACTGCCTGCTTGCAAGGCAGTTGCTTATGCCGCTGAGCTAAATCCCCAGCCTCCATCTCCAACTTGTTTTAACCTTCTCTGTCTTAATCTCTCCCCTGTCTCTCTGTCCCTGTCTCCCTGTTCTCTCTCAGGACACGTTGTCTCCTTCTCTGGATAATTTCTCTCCTTTTTTTTTCTTTTCTTTTTTATTGGTACTGAGGATGGAATGCACACTTGCAAGTTAGGCACTTATGCCACTGAGCTAAATCCCCAGCCCCGATATATTGATTTCTTAGAATGTCTTCTGATTTTTATAATGGAATCCTGTTTCTCTAATTGTGTCTGACATCTTTTTTCCTTTAGCTTTTGTTTTTTCCCATGATTGTTTCTGTCTTCCTCTCCCACTTCTTCCACTGCTGGAATCTTATACCATGTCTGCTTCAAGGTTGTGTTGTTTTTAGGGCAACACTTTCTCATTTCAGAAGGTTTCTGTTTCTCATTTGCTGTTTTCTGTCTTATCCAGCTCAGTTTACAATTTTTCACAATTTTGTATCAACCTACAGGTACAAAAATAACCTCACTCTGCTGCTTCTGTCCCTCTCTCCCTTTGCTCTTTATTTCTTCCACCCAATGAAACATCTAGTCACTGTTTCTCTACACCAACCTTGCCTCTCCATGCCTTCCTTCGGATTATCTTCTTCCAAAAAATATCTTTCTTTCCATATATGTCTGATTCTGGCTCTGGGTTTGTACTTGATCTGTATTCATCCCAGTCCTTTCCTATTAGGAACCCCCTTCATGAGTGGTTTGTGGCCTTCCCAGTCTTTCTCTGACCTCTTCTTAACTTTCCAATCACCTCCACAGGCGTGACATTCAGCAACGGGGAGAGGTCCAAGCAACTTCGACGTTTCTCCATTTCTACACTGAGAGACTTTGGTGTGGGCAAACGTGGCATTGAGGAGAGAATCAAGGAAGAAGCAGAATACCTCCTCCAGGCCATTCAGGGCACACGTGGTAAGCAGGGACCCTAATGTGCTTGGAAAGGAGAAGGAAACACCTGACAAGAAGGACCTGTGCTGTGTGCAGTGGGATGGTGACATACCTGGGGGAAGACTCCTGGTTTTGCAGACCTGGGGTCCAATGATAACTATGTATATTTGGTTCAATGCTGCAGCACCTCCTCAAATGGTCAGCCTGGCATCACTCCATCCAATTGGCTCATTCCCAATTCCTGACTCTTTCTGATTCTACACCATTCTGCAGGTGCCTTCATCGATCCCAACTACTACCTGAGAAAATCGGTCTCCAATGTCATGAATTCCATTGTCTTTGGAGATCGCTTTGACTATGAGGATGAAGAGTTCCTTTCACTGCTACAAATGACAATGGGAATCAACAGATTTTTAGCCTCACCTGTGGGACAGGTAACATTCCAGCCTTGCCTTCCACCTGCAGTCTACTTGTCAATAACATCCAGAGGGCAACAGATGTCCCAAGCATCCACCCTCTTGCAAAGTCCTCTCCAGGCCAGCCCCACTGTTGGACTACTCACAAGCTGCACCAGGCTTGGATAGAGGCCTACTACCCATCTCTATGGATTCCTGGATATCTCAACAGAGCATTCCCAAACAACCTGGAAGGGTGATATTTATCCTCCTCTCAGCTGAGCAGGTGGTCACATCGAACTTACCTGCTTATCTTGAGCAGATGTTCCCTATTTAGTCCTTCTGAATATTTTAACATCTGATTTAACCACTTAAGTTATTTCTGAATACCAGAAACTTGATGCTACAAATTTCAGGTTACCAAAATAATTTGAGTTCTATACACCTATAACAAACCAGCCCACTGGTATATCTATACAAGTGTCTGATACTCATCACACTTAACTACACAAAGGACTGCACAGGTACCAGAGCCAAGATAACTAAACATGTAAGTATTTGGCCATGTTACTGCCTCTAGCACTTAATCTTTGCTCTCCAACCAGCTCACTCACTCACCTTATACAGGTGCCCCTACACAGTCCAGTGGAATATCTAAAAATAAGAATAGATATCCCCTATTTGAGCACCTAAATTACAGGCCCATAATGCCTGCATACCAGAAAATCAGCACCCAATTTAAATAAAAGAGTCCTACTAGATAACTGACTACAACTTAGCCAGTCTTAAGGCCTGAACACCTAAGTAGGTGATCCACAGTTACAATCCCACCTGAATTCCTCAAGACCTGGATTTCTCCATTCCCAAACTATTGAAATTTCTTAACCTGTGTGCCTCAAACCATCTCACTTTAACTTTTTTTTTGTCTTTTTCTTTTTTATCGGTACCAGGGATCGAACTCACAACTGCCTGCTTGCAAGCCAGGCGCTTATGCCGCTGAGCTAAATCCCCAGCCTGTCACTTAACTTTTTGCACAATGATCCCCACAACTTAACTCACATGTAAAATTTCATATCCCCCCTCCCACAATGGGCCTAAAATAAATATGTAAATATTGTATAGGTTCCTGCCCCCAAAGATTTCCTTGCCCTGAGACAGTTCCCATTCCCACTGGCTACTGACAACTGATGGCTGTCTCTTTGTTGTATTCTTTTTTTCCACTTCCAGCTCTATGAGATATTTTATTCAGTGATGAAACACTTGCCAGGACCACAGCAAGAAGCCTTCAAGAACATGCAGGGATTGGAGAACTTTATGATCAAGAAGGTGGAGCAGAACCAGCGCACACTGGATCCCAATGCCCCACGAAACCTCATTGACTCCTTTCTCATTCGCATGCAGGAGGTACATGCAACAGTCAGGGTGGAAAGGTTCAAAGCTGGGTAGAGGGCAAATCAAGGTAGTGAGGAAGGAAGAACTGAAGGACATTCAAATTGGCTCCCCATCATAATAAATGTCTCAATCTCAATCATAATCGAACTTTGTGTCTTATCTCCTGAGCCCTTATTCAATGCAGAAGAAGTACAAGGAAATCATAATAACAACCATGTCTACAAGAGTACCATGTGCCAGGCAGTGCTTTATAAAAGTTCCATGATATTTACCTATTAATAATCATACAGTTCTTGAGCAATGTTATTTTACTGCACCATTTTACACATGCGTAAACTGCAGCCAAGAGTGTAAGTAGCTCTCCTGAAACCACAGCAAAAAGTGGTAGACTCTAGCTCTGACTGTAAGCTGGTGTTTTTTGTTACCCTGCCCTAAATTTTGCTGCCTTGATTATTAGATAAACCTGTGTGGACAGGTGTCCTGGCTTTACTATATGATCTTGAAAGGGAACCACAGCCATCTGGATATCAGTCTTCATCCTTTCAAGAAAGGGAAATTTTTTCAAAGGATCTAAACTATGGAATCTGAACGTCAAAGAATCAATGCAGGGAAATCTTCCATATGAATATTCAGGATATTTTGGGAAAGAATAGGACACTGCCATCCAAAATTTTGTACCGTGTTCTCAGAATATTTGACCTTAAATCACTTGAGACATGTCTTCTTGATATTTCTGACCCTCCTTTTCTATAAGTGTCCCAACCATTGAAAAAGCTGATGATTAAAGAACAGATAGTCATGTGGGAAAAGAACATGCCAAGAATATTTTGGGCAGACCAGGTAGCCTGGATAAAGGCTTGGAAACTTAGACAAGTATGTCCAAGGAAAAACTCCAGAAGGTCCTCAAGGGTATAATAAATGGTCTCAGACTGATGATCTCTCTTGCTGCAGGAGAAGAAGAACCCCAACACAGAATTCCACATGAAGAACCTGGTGATGACCATACTGAGCCTATTCTTTGCAGGCACAGAGACTGTCAGCTCAACTCTGCGTTTTGGCTTCCTGCTGTTCATGAAGTACCCAGAAGTGGAGGGTACGACCAAGGGAATATGGAGGTGTGGGACACAGATTCTCCAAACTCACCTGAGCTTGCAGTAGCTATTTCACCTCTCCAGATTCTGGGTCCTCTTACACACCCTGATGTGCAAAGATGGGCAGCTATCAAATTACTGAGATTGTCGAAATGATTTGTAAAGTCTCCTCTGCTGAGACCACTTTGTGCCAAGTCCCCTCTACCAAGGGCTACCCTGAATATTTTTCTCTTCTGTTTCCTCTAAAGTTCTTGCACAAACATAGTATAGAGTTGGTCGGGTAATAAGATGGGCATCTTTTTTGAAAGTCCTACATGCACACATAGATAATTGTCATATATATAGTTCTATATATTTGAACTGTTGTCCTGATGTGATACCCCTGGATGCCAAAATATATTCCATTCCTCCTGCAGCCAAGGTCCATGAGGAGATTGACCGAGTGATTGGAAAGAACCGACAACCCCAGTTCGAGGACCGAATGAAGATGCCCTATATGGAGGCAGTGATACATGAGATCCAAAGATTTGCAAACTTTACCCCCATGGGTATATCTCGCAGGATCACGAAAAACACCATATTTCAGGACTTCTTTCTTCCCAAGGTGCTGCCTTGCCAACTCTAGAGGAATATCCAATCATTCCCTGGAATATCAATACCCCATCTCCATTAGAAGATTTCCAGCTCACACCCACTTCTGTGATCCAAGGACTCTTTAACTACTATGCCCCTTTAACCTTTCCACAAGTAATTTCCTAATTTCTGTGTCTTCTCCAATCTTAAAACCTCAAGGGACTTAGCTTCAATATCCCCAAGGTCCCTATACAAGTATATGGAAGCCTCCAAATTCTCCCAAACTCCTTCTTTGACAATCATGACCTATGTACTCCTCAATCATCAGAAATGAGAAACCTGTTTCATTTAAACATCTTTCCTCAAGGAATATGAACACGTAAAATTATTCTCTCAGAAAACACCAACTGCATTTATCCTAAAACTTCTCCTAGGTCACTCTAATTCCCCCTCCTAACAATTTTATGCTTTCTCCTATCTCAGCCCTGCTTATCAATATTCTTTCTCTTCCCTGACAGGGCACTGAAGTGTTCCCTATGCTGGGTTCTGTGCTGACAGATTCTAATTTCTTCTCCAACCCAGAAGATTTCAATCCTCAGCATTTTCTGGATGATAAGGGCCAGTTTAAAAAGAATGATGGTTTTATACCCTTTTCCCTTGGTAAGAGAACAGTGTTTGCTTCCAGGCCATCACTAAAAGCAAGAGGAGCAGCTTATTACTGGTTTCCTCTATCAGGTGCAGCCTAGTATGCTTATCAAGCTGGGAAGTTACTGTGCAGTATACCTCTCAACCAACGAAGTATGGGCCCTCAAACCCGTATTATCAAATATGTGTATCAAATCAAGGAGTGAGTTTATCAAAGCCCTTTCAGGCTTGTGGACAGGAAATGCTAGCACTACACCCATGTCGAGAGTCTATTTGGGAAGAATGGGCATCTAAACTTCCATTTGCTACAATCGGGCATGGATCAATTGCACGAGCATCACCTAATGTACAAGGGAAACAGGCTCAGACAGGATGAAAACCACCCCAAGATCTCTCACACCAAATTGTTTGAAATACCTCCCTGGGAGGACATAGCATGGTGGTGTTACAGAGCATGTTATAAATGAATGCTCATTTCATCTGTATCTCTCCCTCCTCTGCTCTTCAGGAAAGAGGAACTGTTTTGGGGAAGGCCTCGCTAGAATGGAGCTCTTTCTCTTCTTTACCATCATTATGCAGAATTTCCGGTTCAAGTCCCCACAAGCACCTGAAGATATCTATGTGTCTCCAAAACCTGTGGGATTTACCAGGATCATGACATCTTTCACCATGAGCTTCCTTCCCCGCTGATCCAGGAGTGAGGCAGGGATGGGCAAGTTGATAGGGCAAGGGGAAAAGGGAGGGACAAAGGGTGCGCCTAAAGGTAGGGGCGTGGCCAAGGAACCTGACTAATATTACATAGAAATGAAGGGCCAAGAGGGATACAGCAAGGAGAACAGGCTTCTTGCTTTGCCAAAGGCAGAGTCTTCCAACTGGATGAAGTGAAAAGCATATATTGTGCTATGCATGATTATAATAATAATTATGATAATAAATTACAGCTATTATTCATTGAGCAGTATTCTGTGTTTGCTCTGTGGTAAAAGCATCCCATGATGTCCTCATGTATTGTCCTCAAATACATCCAAGGAGAAACATTGTTTATGCTATTTTTACAGCTGAAATCACTAAGAGAAAGTTTAATTCATTAGCTCAGTTCCCAAAGAACAATGCTGTACAGCAAATTACTGAACACATATCTAGGTGTTCAGCACAGACCTGTAGGAAACAGTTTGGAAAGCCACCCCAAAGCTCCCTTCCCAGGGGACCTTGCAGAGCCCTGGCAGGCCATTACTCTGGTTTCACCCCTCACTTATTGACATTCTTGCTCATTCACACACTGCTTGCACAGAAGAGCATCACATTCTGTGCTCCTCACCTAGTAAGACCACTGTGTCTGAGTCAGACTCAGCCAGGGATGTAGGAATTTGACCTCTTAATTATATGTGTGTAAGGAAAAAAAAAATTTTCATACAAGGCCAGGAGAACTTTGGACCAACGCATAGCTATGACTATTTTATTTTTACCCTTTTTTTTCTTTTTATCGGTACCAGGGATCAAACTCACGACTGCCTGCTTGCAAGGCAGGTGCTTATGCCAGTGAGTTATATCCCAGACCCTATAGCTATGACTATTATGCATTCATATGCACAGTAGTGCACCCAAGTGTGCGATTCCATATTCTCCTCAGGAAAGGCCTGAATACCTATGCTGCCATGGCATTCTCTCCTCTTTTCAATTAAAAAAAATAGAATAATAAAATTTCAAAACAAGGTAGGAGGTCGATAATAACAATTAATATATTATGCATTGTTATCTTCAAAGTAGTTGCTCATATTACAAGATATAGGCATGAAAATCTGATGAAAATAATATAAAAGAAATCTGTCTGTTCAGTGAACTAATTGAAGTTAGTACTATAACTATCTATAACTATAACTGTAACTATTCCCCATAGTGGAAATAAGATGAAACATTTATTTGGTATTTTGGACAAGAACAGATCTAAAAAACCCAACTGCACTGTGGCTTAGAAGAAAGATCATCCCTTCAGCACATTGTAAGGTTTAAAGGAAAACTGCACAAGGCTACATATTACATAAAACATTGTATAAAACTGCCGTTGCCTTTCTGGTATCAGTCCCTGCCCAGATTATATTCCAACACTGGTATTCCCAATAGTTACACTGAATATATCATGTTTAAAAAAAAGAAAGAAAAGTAAAACCTTTAAAAAGCCACATCAAAGTGACTTAGTAACTATATATCCAACTCAAACTTTATCTTCTTAAATGAGATTTGCTGCCCACAAAAAAGAAAAACAGAACTTTATTTCACTCAGATTGGAATCATAAATCTTCAAACTTAAGCATCTTTCTTGCCCAATAATTCAAAGGAAAAATCTAAAATGATTAATAGAGATAAATGTAGAAATTTACAGACATTTTAAATTTGTTTTAAATGTTTTGTAAAGTTTAAAAAGTAGGCTTTGTAATTCCTAGTAGGAAAACATTATCTGAATAAATACCCTAATGGCAAACCATTGTAAAGCACTTCAGCTCCATTTTGTGCAGAGGGGAAGGATTATCTTAGAAGCACCCCACCTCCCTTGATGAGTAGGTCAGAGGTACACTGATTTGTATCATTGTGACATCCATTAAGTAATCTAGGTTGCTTTTCTTTTAGTAAGGGCTTTTTCAGAGGAGCATTATGCTTGACCTCCAAAGTTGGCTGACAATTTACCGATGAGATTCATAACCTTTGGATTACAGTGGCATTTTGACATACATAAAGTATTCTGAGCCACATCCTGGAAGGCCACCATAACATCTGGATCCTGCATGTTACAAGTACCTCTGGATCCCTATGAATCTCACTGAGCCCAGACATTCCTGCCATGCCTGCTCCCATTCCAGATATCCCTCCTGGGAAATTACAAGGCATTTCCCAAGGAAAACTGCTGTACACTGCAAAAAAACAGCTTCCTCATCCTGTGCTATGTTTGCCAAAGCCCAAGTTATATGACCAAATTACCTGTCAATTCCCTTTGCAAACACAACTATTTTCTACAACCGGACACCCTGGGGCACAGACTGCACTGTTGTAAAGTAACTGTAGAGCTGTCATACTGTTCTGTATGCGCCATATTCCTGGGTGACCTGATTGATATGTTAACCACTGTTCCCCTCTGAAAGGGACAGATATTATCTAAAAATTAAATGCTGAAATTAGCTGACAAAAGACTATAAATTCCTTGGGAATCTTCTCTGTCCTCAAGCAAAGGGAAACAAAGGTCTTCCTCATTCCTTAGCTGACCAAGGATGGTAAATTCCTGCGAAATTTCTCTGTCTTCAAGCAAAGGGGAACAAAGGATTTTTTCATTCTTGTTCCACACCCATCATTTACTTTGTAATAGTTCTTTCCATAATTTCCTCATTCCTGTTCCCTATAAATCATTTACTTTGTAGTTGTTCTTTCTATAGAAGTCTGTCAAAATTTTAACCCAGTTACATAGCTTTGCAAACTCTAACTGCACTGTGTTGCTGGTGCTGGCCTAAATAAAAGTGCTCTTTTTCCTTCAAAAAGACATCTTGCCCCATTTTTAGGACAACATTTTGGTGTCTCATTTTTGGGGTACAACAAAAACCACCTGGAAAAGAGCCAATCTAAGTTCCTGATTGTCATCTGGCTTCTTCCTCCTTCTGAGCCTTCCCATGCTCTTCTCCAGCCTTCTTAACCTTTCTGTTATTTCTTTGATCTTTCATTCTTCACGTGTTCACTCATACCTTGTTCAATATTCAGCAATTTTCTGGTCCCTTGGCTGAACTTCTTTTAGCATTGCACTTGCATCCTCATCATAATCCAGTTTACAAGCAAGGGCAAGGTCATGGGCTGCTTCTTCCCAATGGCCCAGAAGTCTGTGTTCTTTCCCTTGCCACTTGTACAGTTGGGCTGAATCAGGTTTTATTTCTGTCACAATCTTGAAGGACAGCATTTGTCTTGTGCAATTTGGTGAGGACACTGGCTCTTTTGGCACACAGAATGGCCAAGCGAGGAGTGAGCTTGATGGGATCTGTGAGCAAGTCAATGGCTTTCTGTAGTTCACCATTTTTCAAAACATCAATGGCTTCCTTTCTTTTCCTTGCTTGATCAATCTCAGTTATCTCTACATTTTCATCTTCCATTTTTTTGAGGGGGTATCAGTTTCTGGTTCAATTACACATTCATGGTCGATCTCTAGATCACTCTCCTCACTGACGGCTCATCTGTCTCTATGTTTTTCTCCATCTTATTGTTTTTAGATTGGTGATATTATCTTCTGATTTAGCTTTATGAGTAGCAGGTGTTATTTTACCCCCACAAGCTCTCCACCCTCTCAGGAAGCTCGTCTCCTCACTGTATAGGATGCTCCAACCTTACCCAGTATCATTGTTAGGGCCGACGCCGCAGGGAAAGAGACCCCAAGGACTCAACTCTTGGTGAGGGAAAAAAGTTTATTTCCATGCGCATGGGGTCCTCCAGGCAAATGAGTGCGGAGGGCCTCGAGGGGAATTTGTGCAGGGTTTTTAAGGGCACAAGCAGGAAGTAAGCAGGTTTACAGAAGCAGATAGCATTGGTTAATTTTGAACGGTGCAGGACTTGGCAGATGCTGATTCGAGGGGTCTGGGGCTGAGTAACCATGGAGACTGAGGGCCCTGGTCTGATCTCAGAGTGCCAGGTACAACTCGGTCTCGTTTGAATAGCACCTTTATCTTTACAGAGGACAGATCACCTTGTGGTTAATGACTAGCAGATGCATTCCTTCCTGTCCTGCCCCGATATCTCAAGGAGGAATTAGGGAGTGGAACATTCCTTACTGCTCTGTTCTATAGCTCGGGGGGGTTATATTACAAACGGGGAGTCGATTGTCTCATTCCCCCCTTTTTCTTGTGGATGACCTCTAATCTTAGAGGTATGTTGTAGCTAGGGGTTCATATTGTTGACCTATGACCATTACTTTGACCTGAGAAACTTGTCCCCTTATGAATTGGGTAATCCAGTTAATGAGGCAAGGGACAATGGCTAGGATTAGGATTAAGGCCACTAATGGTCCTATCAAGGGAAGGAGATAGGGGAGAATTCCGTTTTACATTTTTCAAAGGGGGCTCCCAAACAAAGATCTTTAATAATTGTTTTTTTGCTTACAGGGGGACCAAAGCCGCCGTGCAAGGTCGGCATCAATGTTATTAAAATCAAAACAAGCAAGCTAAAAACAGTTCATGACCTGCATAATCTAACTATGCTTTAGTCAATTTTTAACTTTAAGGGTTACCAGTCTGTTGTGTAGTCCACTGAGTATGTCCCTCGTTGTCTGCTGTTTCCAGTGGCTTTACATGAGTGTAGTAAATCCACGCAGTTTTTCCTGCTACCTTGATGGCAGTGGGGGTACTGAGCACCACGGTGAAAGGTCCTTCTCAGTGGGGTTCAAGGGAGTCACGGTGGTGACATCAAACCAAGACTGGAGTCCTTGGGGCCTTGGTCTCTGAAGGCGGGTCCAAGTGTTTTTGTCTAAACAGCTGGTGGATCCAGGCCAACACAGGTTGGAGTGTCTGTAGGGACTTAAGATCTCGATTAGTAATTTCAGCTAATTTGTCTTCTGACAATCTTGGAACCAGTGGTGGGGGCCTCCCAAACATGGCTTTAAAGGGGGAAGTTTTAGAAACATATGGGGTATATCTAGCTCTTAACAGTGCAAAGGGAAGAAGGCTCATCCAATTATCGCCAGTTTTTGAAAACAGCTTAGCTAAAATGTCCTTGAGACTTTGGTTCATACGTTCTACTTGCCCTGAACTTTGTGGCTGATAGACACAGTGGAGTTTTAATTAATCTTTAATGCCTGGGCTAACTTTTGGGTGACTAGGGCTATGAAAGCCAGGCCATTATCGGACCCCATTGATAGTGGGAGGCCAAATCAAGGTATGATCTCATGCGATAGCCTTTTAACTACCACTAAGGCTGACTCAGACTTAGTAGGGA